TAAGAAAAATCAGATTGCATCATTAATTTTGTAAATTTCTAGAACACGAATCAGCCACGAATAAGGCACACTGTCAAAAGTCTTTTGGTAATCTATATAAGCTAGGTTTAACATTTCTATTGTGTATTTGCGCATGTTTGAGAATGATGAAATCAATTATTAATTGTTCTTTACATCCACGATGATACTACTTTTTTTCCAAATAATTTACTATTTTATTTGTTATGCAGTATGTAATTAGTTTATAAATTATGGGTAAGCAAGGTATTGGTCGGTATTTAGGTGGGTTAGTTGTGTCTTGACACTTTGGTATTAGGTGTGTTATACCAGTAATGGCAAAATTAGGTAGATTTATTGCTCTTTTGATTACGTCGGTAATAATTTTGCTCAAAATATCATGAAGTGAAACTAAATTTTTATACCAGAAGTTATGCACGTTGTCTACTCCTGCTGCTTTCCAATTCTTCATTCTTCGTACTACGTCTTGTATATGCTCAATGGAGATTTCTGAAAATTCCATATCCTGCACATTTTTGTAATATTCTTCTTCTTCTTTAATCCATTCAGCTGTTTCATTATGTGTTAAACTATTTTCCCAGATTCCTGCCCAATAGTTTTAAAACTCATTATCTCTAGGAAAGAGAGTTTCTGATTTATTACTATTGTTATCCTTGTCCTTATTAAGTGTATTGTCCATTTTTTCCTTTAATTTGAAAAGTCTGTTGTCTTCTTTTCTTTGTATCCTGTACTATATTTTTTATATCCTGAAAGTCTATGTGCTTTAAGTGCAAATTTTTGTTTAAGAGTGTCTAAATATTCCTCTGGCTTAAAATTCTCTTTTTCGTGAGTGGAATGTGTTTTAAAGTTTTTAAAAATAACTTCTACTTTACGTACTATTTTCGGTGATTTGTTGTTATTAATATATTGAGTAAGATGACCTCTATTCGCTCTAAGATTTTTTATATCATTCTCTAAACGTTTTTCCTATGCTGGTTTGATGGGGCTTTCTTTTGTATTATTTATATATTCTCTTTGGGGGAGGCCTACGTTCAGCAGTGGACTTGTGAAGGGCTGTAATGATGATGATGATGATGATGATTTATATAGTTTATTTCTGTTTGTACTTGTAATCCAAGTTGTTTATCTATTACAAATACAGTACAATATATTAGTGTGTGAATATTATGTAAATCTGAGTCCTAAGAATAAAATTTGCTTAGAATATTTGTATTAAATACGTGAATTAAATCATATAATTTCTTACTATTTTTCAACCTGGGGAATTTGGACATGTGGTAGGATCACTTCCAGAGTACTGAGTTAGAGTTGTCTGTAGTTCATCAGTTAATTTTTTAATGTTCTGAGTAGTAAGAGAGGCGTGATGGATATGCACATCTGTGTCCAAGATAGTGTTGAAGTATTGCTTACTCTGATATATAGAAATTTGCGTAGAGGTACCTTGGACCGGCAAGGTATTTTTTGGTTTGGATGGTGTACTAGACTTAATGGTCGATGAATTCTGTACTGTATCTGAAGTGTGAGTGGTGGGGCTAGAATATATCTGGAAAGTAAGTTCTAGCTCCTTATTTAGTCGCTGACTAACATCGTGTTTTATCTGTTTCAGTATTTCATCAGTTAACAGTTTATTTTGAATTATAACTCTCCTTTGATCCGCTATTCTTTGTTGAGTTACTTTCCTTTCAGAATATTGAAGTTAGAATTCGTCAAATAGTTTTTTCCATACATAGCCATATCGTTTTCTAATTTTGTGATGAAATAATAAGTGCGCATTATGAACATATTTAAATCATCATCCCATTTCATGTGTACTCTGGGTTTTCTAGCTTTGTTGGTCGCATGTTGTGAGGCAGAATATATTACAAGCGAAACGTCCTTAGTCCAGGTGTCGGAGTCTTAGCTATTTTCTTCTATAACAAATTTGGCTGTAGATAATTTTTCGGGGGGAACCCGCCTGCTCAGTCCCCCACCACCGATGGATCGCATGCTGCTACACCCAGCAACGGCTCCAGATGTACCCTGGCGATTATCCCCAGGCAGCGTCCCTATACTTAATTCTCTTGAACGTAGCTCTATATTAAATGGGTAATCATTGCTTTGTTAGCCGCGTATGTTTCGAAAGTACGCGTTTCCGCCCCCTACGTAGTCAGTTGTTCGACACGGACGTAAGGTTGGGTTTTAGGGGGTTTATTATATTACTTTTATTATTTTTATTATCATTTATGGGTTATCTATATAGTTTTCTCATCTGGTTGGGCTGTATAAATAAATCATTGTAAACTAAAGATATAAATATACATAAATATCAATAAAATAAAATAAATACATAAATACATAAAAAATACATAAATAATTGTTATTACTGTACGTCGATAAGAATGGATGGTCTGACGTCACGTCATGTCTGACGAATTAGTATGTCATTATCATGTAATTATCTTTCCTCTTATTGAAACTGAATTCTACTGAACCACTAGAAAATACCACCAGTCATTAAAAGCAAAATTTCTCTACTAGAAGTGGGATCGTAGCCACCAGTTTTAATGGAAAATTCACTCACTTGGCAGCACTGGTTAACACCTTTTATTATCTTTATATATAAAAATTACGTGTCACATTGTTTGTCCGCGATGAACTCCTAAACTACTGAACTGATATCTATGAAATTTTGCACACTGTGTGCAGTTTGGTCCAACTCGAGAGATAGGATAGTTTTTAACCAGATAAGTGACCCTCAATTTTTTTATTGCTAATCTCAGGATTTTTTTTAGGAAAGCAAATGGTCTTCAGAAAGGGCAGAACAACGTCTGCCTGGCCAGCTAGTTTATTTAAATTATAACTGTTACTGTCAAACTGACAATTCATTACGCATGACTCTATTCTATTTTGCTTCTACGACTTTATTAAATAAACTGATACATTATCGTACAAATTAAAACAATAATTAAAGATGATATTAAAGTGTGCACAGGAATTACGTGGCTTAGTTCCTTGCTCTTTTCTACCATCGGACAATCAGACAATTAATATTCCACGTATTCGAACCAAGTGGTTTGCTTCGTCCTTCATAATACACAAGGGTGTGGAATAATTTACCGGCTTACGAATTACCATCCGATTACAATATGGGTGTCTTCTAGTCAAGAGTAGACAAAAGTAATTCTAGACAATAGGCTACAGCAGTTTTAAAACAGCGTGATTTACTATCTAGGGCTTCATCACAATTTATCACCAGGTGGTATTATGGACAAGCACTGACTTGTAAGAAGTAAAAGAAACAAACCTATGAATCATAGTCTCGTCAAAACAAATATATCACATGTCGTTCGGAAGTGCCACTGATAATAATTCATCCAATGCCATGACTTATCTGAGCTTTCTTGGAATTTTTTAAACGTTATCCTCACTAAATCGTGGAGAGCACTGACAAATATCTCATTCTTTATAAGTACGAATCATTATTTTATAGGCACTAGGAACTGAAATAGTGTACTGGGCTGACCTCTGTTAGTAATAGGCGTACTATTGTATTAGAGGTCAGAATTAGTAGGTGATGGGAAGTTCGATAATTGGGTAAAAAGTGTCGACGGCAAACCATGAACAACACCAGGGGAAAGCTCGTTTTTGTAGGTATCTTGAAGGTTCTTGAAGGTATCGTATATATCGGTCCGGAGAAATCGCCGGTGGTAAACGATTCGACAAATAAGTAGTGCGAGGAAAAAAACTCCTGAATCGTGCTAGTGAGAAATCGGTCGTCTACGATTCAAGTCGCTCTTTGCTGAATACGGTCAAGTAGAAGGAACTGGCACTGGGGTACCTCGGCCTAAAGATGAAAACAGTCACGCTCTATGACCGTAAGCATACTACTTGGTCATTCTCGTTTTACTAAGCTTTTTACACTAGTCTACTACAAGGCCACTTAACACCATAGATTACTATCAAAAACTAAACATTGTTATTATTATATTACAGTCCCTTCCATGAACAAAGAGTATATAATCACATCACATTTTTCTTACCAACATCAGCATCCCCCCTAAAAATGCCACAAAACACGACATATATCCGCCATTCTTATAAATTAAGTTACATATATAGTTGTAATGTTATATTAAGTTACATAATATACTTACAAATCACAGTTATTTGGCACATCCATCAAAGTTATTAGGCTAAAGCCAAGGAGGTTACAATATTTTACAACCTCCTTGGCTAGAGCAGAGAAAAGAGTATAGAATCACTACGTTTAAGTATTAGTGTTATGTGCTCTCGGTAGAGAGTAATTGATTACTGTGTTTAGAGTTTTGGCGGGAACTTGAACGGCGGCGGTTTGCTGCTCCTGTATTATTGTTTAAATAATGGTTTGAAGTGGACTTTGATATGTAAAAGTGGTGCGATTTTGTGTATTAAGTGTCTGCGTATGTGAACTATTAGTAGAAACTGTGAAACAAGTGCTCTGATGGTGATGTGATTCTCAAAATAAGGTGTATGTCTGCTTAGGCGCCTTGAGATACCTTCGCCAACCGTCAGCTGTCTGCTGGCTCAAGTTGCCGTCAAAATCTCCCAAGGGCTGCACAATGTGATGCATCAACATACTGTGAAGCATTATACTATGAAGGATAATTATTATAATATATTGTAACTTCAGGCTCAGAAGGGCTAGATCCCAGAGCCGTAAAGCCAGTTATTAAGAAGAAGAAGTGTTTTGTGTTTATGTTATGTGGTATGGCTCGTTACCACAGAGTACATTGTATATAGGGAACCCCGCCTAAGGGTATTAGTGTTCTGTGTAGGGAACTCGTTACCATGACGACACATGTACACAACATATATCATAGAATATTAATACATAAACTGTGATTTTATTTTCTTATACATTAACCTATTAATTACAATAATCACTAATCACTGACCATATTATTCATATTATCTGAACAAAGGGAAAACCAACCCACATACAAGGAAGTGCACTTTATGCCAAGATGCAAACATCAACTGTTCAACCAGTGTTTAAATTAGAATTAAACCACAAAGTAACACCAAGTGTTGTAACAATAGCAAAATACGATGGTACACATCCTTGTTTGACTGCGTCAGCTGGATATGATAAAGTATGGATATTTTCTTCATATTAGTCTGTGGATATTTTTCAACAAATAAACTTTTGAATATAGCAATTTATACACTTTGAAATGAAATAATTAAAATAAAAAACATACATACTACAAAACTTCGCAATGACAAATTGAAAATAGATAAATTTTAATTAGTTTATGAGTGCGTCAAAAAACATACGCGTCAAATAAAATATACCTCCTCCTTTTTGAAGTTGGCCGGAAACAACGTATTGAAATCGAGTCAAAACAATGCTCAAATTATTGTAAGGACACGCAAATACACACACGTATGCATCTTAAATAATTTGCAACCAACTACATGGTTTTAGGTGCTTATATGTTTTAGGGAAAAAGAAGAAAAAGTGCGTGAGAGTGTGCCAAGAAGTTGAGCATGGTTTCGGCATGGTTTCGTTACTTGATTTGTACGCAGCATTCCGTTTATTTTTCGTTGTTGGTCTGAGTATAAGCAGTAGGTATATTTTCCTACAATTCCTGCAATCCACAAACCCAAATATGTATAGTGCATTTACTTTAATACTTATTGAATCGTAAAGGTTCTCGTTGTATTATATATTATGACGACACAACAACATGTTTAGCCTTATGATTTAGATATTTTAAGAAATTAACGTCTGGTTTTAGATTATAATTCATCACCCATATGGAGAGATAGCGAGCGGCCGGGCCCAGCGTTCTCATGCGCATGGAGAAGTATCGGAACTGAATGTAAGCCAAGCAGTAATAGCACTAGCAGCCGGCCCCCTGAAACCTGACTCCCCGAGAGATATATTACTGATTGGATCACCTTCTCAGATACTCGGTATTATCACTACTTTTTTAGGAAAAATACCGTAGAATACTATCTCCCCTATCTATCCCATGTGTTTACTTTATTCACTCAGACTGTATTAGGTTACCATTGTCAGGATAAAACTCAAGTAATGCTATCAAGTGGTGGTGGCATATAAAATTCATCATCCCATTTCGTTTTTTGGGTGTTATCTAATGGAAATGTTAGAATGATCTTCATCATCATCATCATCATGATCATTACAGCCTTTCATAAGTCCACTGCTGAACATAGGCCTCCCCCAAGGAATGCCACAAAGCACGGTCCTGAGCCACCTGCATCCATCGACTTCCTGCATGTCTTACCAGCCGGGCTATTCACAATCGTCTCGGAAAGCGAAATCGACTCGGATTCGATAACTTCTCGCACCGAAACCAATAAACGCTATTCACATTTAACGTTCGGATAAAGGTCACTTAGATACATCCCATAACTATTGTATCGTCATTTAGTTACATGCATTTACGAATTTTGTAGATAAATAGGCTTTTGTATTTTTTTAGAGTAACGCCTGAACAAAAACATAATGCAATATTTTGGTGTTAGCCATTGATATCGAATATAAAAAATATATAATTTAACTATATAATAAATAACAAAAAAACTGACATATGTCTCGTTTCACAAAGCAGCATATACATATATATATATATGCTGCTTTGTGATAGAAAACTTATAAAAACACACCTTTTACAAAAATTCAACTTTACAATTAAGTACAAATATTGAAGTAATTGTATGAAAATACGTCTTATAGATACTTGTAATAAATTTTTGTTACCTACCTTATAATTAAAAGGGTTTATTTATCTCTTCTAATCATCAATACTCGAAAAGTTTTCGCCAGCCTCAGAGCTCTCGTGAAGTTTCCGATGCAAACTGTCAAAACAAACGTCAAAGAAGTACGGTCATGCCCCATAGAAAAAAACCCAGACCCGACAGAAACGAGACATATCTCAGTTTTTTTGTTATCTATTATATAGTTAAATTATATATTGGATATCAATGGCTAACTCCAAAATATTGCATTATGTTTTTGTTCAGGCGTTACTCTAAAAAAATACAAAAGCCTATTTATCTACCAAATTCGTAAATGCATGTAACTAAATGACGATACAATTGTTATAGGATGTATCTAAGTGACCTTTATCCGAACGTTAAATGTGAATAGCGTTTATTGGTTTCGGTGCGAGAAGTTATCGAATCCGAGTCGATTTCGCTTTCCGAGACGATTGTGAATAGCCCTGCAGGTCGTCACTCCATCTCGTGGGGAATCGCCCTACACTTCGCCTACCGGTACGAGGCTGCCACTCAAGAACCTTTCTTTGCCATCGGTTGTCGTTTCTTAGAGCTATATGGCCGGCCCACTGCCACTTCAGCTTACTAATCCGTTGGGCTATGTCGGTTACTCTGGTCTGATCTTCTGGTCTGGAATGATCTTGACCTTGATATAATGTCATAAAATAAACACCTCCTAAGGGTTACGCCTCACGGGCGTTAGAGTCGCCACTTTTCATATATATATATGAAAAGTCTTCGCCAAGGGCGAATTTATCGACTTTGAGCGGATCGGATATGCTATCATGCGCAAGGCCGCGTCGACTACTAAATTCACTGAGCGCTTAGACTAGAGCAGAGCAAATCAATCTAACGTACATTTGACAGTGTTTATTGTCATTATGACAAGTTTAAAAAATACAAGCTTCATCACGAACGATTGGAAACTCAAATGGATTTTTTTTTAATATTTGACTTACTTATTAATAGACTATTCGGAAGAAGAGGATACGATACAATTGTCTAAAGGAGACACACAACATATTGTTTTATGTTGGAAACATAATTTCGTCACAATTAAATTTATTCCAGCATACGATGTTCACGATAACTCGGACCTCTTCTTCAAAGAAGCACCGGACGGCGTAAACATACTGATCACAGGCATCTTTGGCAAATACCATGAGATGCTCGCTATTGTTGGCGGCAACAGTTCCGTACAGGGGCTCAATTGGGAAGGAAATGAGGTGTTCTGGAACGTTGTCAGTGGAAAAGTGTGTTCCATGATCACCTTTGATTTTGACAAAGATGGTGAAAATGAGGTAAATCCGCTTAGATAAAATTACTGCTTTATTTTGGATAGTCATGATCATGATGATGTCATTGCAAAAAAAAAGCATATCACAAATTCACTGCTGAACACAGGCCTTCCCTAAAGACTATCAAAAAACACCGTTACAGCAACACGAATTTATCGACTTCCGGCACGTCTAACCGGGTCGATACACGCACCTAGTGAGAGACTGCCCTATACCATATGAGTAAAGAAACCGAACCTATTTTGGTAGGGTAGGCACAGGAGGTTAAAATTGAATAAACAAAATGTCTAACAGCTTCTATAATATACTCTATCTATAATAAATAAAATTTTAATAGCGTTGAATATCCTCACAAAAAAAATATATTTATAAGCAAAAATGTTTTTTTAATACGGACAGCATAGAAGAGAGAGAGAGAGAGAATGATGTAACGACGATTCTCCCTCCAGCTACCACCCGCATGAGGTCGATACATATGCTCCACCAACCAATACAATGGGCAGATATAGCCAATAGGCAGTTTATAAGCTAATAGTAATAATTCGCCATCAGAAAGGGTTTGTGTCACTGACGTTGAGTATATGCATTTTTCGATCATATTTATCTCACCCACCAACAAGTTGTCTTCAATCTTTCAATCTCTATAAAGTTCCCAACTTTATAGAGATGTATTATTATGTTGTTATATAAAACATCATGGGGGTCAGACAGTCTGCAGCCCCGCAATGAAGGGACCCGACTTGGGCAAAGCTATTTAGGTTGTGAGTCAAAAACCAAGACGCAGGGAGCGCCATTGAGAATAGCAGCTCGCTAAACGACCATCGCAGAGACGCAATGCTGCAGAACGCAACAAGCATCAATACGACTATCGTCGGGCTTACACCATCCCAAGGTCCCCCATACAGTCCCAGCAGACATCACCACCCGCATACCTCCATCGACCAGAACCACAGGATGTGTCGAATCGGTGCAGCACACCCGCAGATCCGTCACAAGACGCAATACTGCAAGTAGCAGTAAACATCAATGCAACTATCATACGGATGGCGCCCCCTCACAACACACCCACACGATCCCTATCGACTTTGGTAACTAAATTGATATGTAATGTTGTTAACTGTTGAGTATGCTTGCTGCACTTAAGTCGTTCAGTCCAAGTTTCCCTCGGTCTCGGACGCTGTGAAGCAATCTACACGCCACTATAATAATCCTTTTCAAGTCCCATTTCTTTCAATATAATTCTTATACATATTTGAGACATTCCACATATTTGCTTTATTTACCTCTCATCCGGACGGATATCAGGTTTCCGTCGATGCCCCTCTCGGCTCTTCGGACCATTGTCTGATCCGGAATATGGTGCCACTCACGCTCCCTTCGCGGTTGCGTTCTGCAGGTTGCCGCCGTGTTTGGCATTACAGGTCGGCGGATTGGGACGGAATGCGGTCTTTCTTTGCATCCTACCCATGGGGGCGGGTTTGCTTCTCGCCGGATGATCCCAGCGCTGTTGCTGACTCTGTCACTGATGTGGTGCTACAGGGAATGGAACTATTTATTCCATCATCTGTGGTACCCATCGGAGGCAGATCTCAGCCTTGGTTTGGTCGCTCCTGTAAGACTGCATTACGCAGTAAGCAGGAGTGTTATCAAGCCTGGGCTGCGGCTTCGGCGACTCGGGATGTAAACACCAGCTCACTTAAAAAGAAATATAACTTCGCCTCCAGGTCCTTCAAAAGAGTTATTGCCAAGGCAAAGTCAAAGCACATAGGCAGAATTGGCGAGAAACTAGTTCGCCTTCCTTCGGGAACCCGTGCATTCTGGTCTCTCGCCAAGGCTGTCCAAGGGAATTTCTGTAAGCCATCACTACCATCTCTGCACAGGGAGGATGATTCACTGGCCCAAGACGCAAAAAACAAAGCCGACCTTTTAGGCTCCCTTTTTGCGTCCAACTCGACTCTTGATGACGGGGGGAAAGCACCGCCGACCATCCCGCGGTGTGAGTGCTCCATGCCAGATGTGCTGTTCTCACAGCGCTCGGTTCGCAAAGCACTGCTCTCCCTGGACATCCAGAAGTCGAGTGGGCCTGACGGAATCCCCCCAATTGTGCTGAGGACGTATGATCCGGAGTTGGCACCGGTCCTAACGCGTCTTTTCCGTCTTTACTCCCAAGGCGTAGTCCCGAATTCATGGAAGACAGCTTTTGTCCACCCGATCCCTAAAAAAGGCGACCGCTCAGACCCATCCAACTATAGGCCTATCGCCATCACCTTCTTGTTCTCCAAAATAATGGAATCCATTATTAACTGCCAGCTCATCCGGTACCTTGAGGATCACCAGCTGATTAGTGACCGCCAATACGGTTTTCGTCGGGGTCGATCAGCTGGTGATCTTCTGGTCTACCTGACCCATAGATGGGCGGAGGCAGTAGAGTCCAAGGGGGAGGCGTTGGCCGTTAGTCTGGACATTGCGAAGGCCTTCGATCGGGTTTGGCACAAAGCGCTTCTTTCGAAGCTCCCTTCCTATGGGCTTCCCGAAAAATTGTGCAATTGGATCACCGGCTTCCTTGCAGATCGGAGCATCAAGGTCGTTGTAGACGGTGCATGCTCTGACTACAAGCCTATTAACGCTGGTGTTCCACAAGGTTGTGTGCTATCACCAACGCTGTTTCTTCTGCATGTCGCTCGAATCGTCGACGACCGAGCCCTTTCCGATCGGCTCGATTCATTGGCACTGCGAAGAGATGTTGCATTCCTTTGCATTTTCTTCCGCATCTACCATGGGGAGTGCTCTGAGGAATTGTTCGGATTAATCCCAGCCGCCAAATTTCACGAATGCACATCGCGGCAGAACTCCCGATACCATCCACACCATCTGGATGATTGGCGGTTCACCACTGTGCGATTTAGAAGATGTTTTCTTCCTCGCACGACTTCCTTGTGGAATCGATTACCATCAGCGATTTTTCCGGACCGATACGACTTAGGGACCTTCAAGAAAAGAGCGTACTCCTTTTTAAAAGGCCGGCAACGCATCTGCAATTCCCTTCCTGGTGTTACAGTTGTTCATGGGCGGCGGTAGTCACTTACCATCAGGTGAGCCGCATGCTCATTTGCCCCCTCTCCTATAAAAGAAAATTTCATAGACCATACTATTATATGTCTTATTCATATGGGATTTCAAGTCATAACTCTGCTATCATAATGCTTATGCATCATAGAGACCTTGTATATTAGTGCTTTGGTTCGATAGACCTTACTATCATAAGTCCCTAATATAGGACTAGTCATTGTGCAACCTTACTACTAGCAGTCGGTCAGCCGACCACCCCATATATATGTACAAACTTGAGTATGTGTCTCCGGCAACGCCCCCTTATAAGGGAACATTACAAGAACACCTTCATCAACTTTGAACAATGTTGATCTATTTTTTCTATTATATTACAAATGTTATTTATCTTTATTATTGCAATATAATCGACTTTTATTTATATGATTTAATACATTTTGAATATTTTAAACAGAATTTCAATAAAATTAGAGATTTTTAAAGACAATTTATGCGTTAACTATACTAAAGTCCAACTTCGACCCAGAGGTCAATCGACGGATTCAACTCGGCTGGGCAGCGTTCGGGAAGCTAAGACACATCTTCTCGTCAGACATACCTCAAAACCTTAAAACGAAATCGTACAACCAGTGCGTGTTGCCAGTGATGACTTACGGAACTGAGACGTCGTACTTCACGGCTGGCCGGATGAGAAAGCTCAAGGTCGCTCAGCGAGCTATGGAGAGGGCTATGCTCGGAGTTTCTCTGCGTGATAAACTTAGAAATGAGGATATCCGCAGTAGAACCAGAGTAACCGACATAGCCCAACGGATTAGTAAGCTGAAGTGGCAGTGGGCCGGCCATATAGCTCGAAGAACCGACAACCGATGGGGAAGAAAGGTTCTCGAGTGGCGGCCTCGTACCGGTAGGCGAAGTGTAGGGCGTCCCCCCACGAGATGGAGTGACGACCTGGTAAGACATGCAGGAAGTCGATGGATGCGGGTGGCTCAGGACCGTGCTTTGTGGCGTTCTTTGGGGGAGGCCCATGTTCAGCAGTGGACTTGTGAAGGGCTGTAATGATGATGATACTATAATATTCAATATTCCAAATGAATATATTTGAACTTTATACTTAATATTGCATTTTAATTGTTTAAAATATAACTTCTATGACATTTTTAAATGTCTTTATAATGAATTTAATTATTATTTATTAATAATAATTATGAAGCGTCACAATGACATTGTCGGCTAAGTTCACACTCATGATAAAAAATGTTTTTAAAAATTCCGTAGATTTCAATCTCAAATTCCGTAGTTCCGTAGATGATGACAAAATTCCGTAGATCTACAGAAAAATTCTTGAGATTGACATTTGAAGAAAAAGTGATAAGGTGCAGGCATTTTAACGTCCTCGGCGCTAGAGGCTTTTTTTTTTTTTATAGGAGAGGGGGCAAACGAGCATGCGGCTCACCTGATGGTAAGTGACTACCGCCGCCCATGAACAACCACAACACCAGGGGAATTGCAGATGCGTTGCCGGCCTTTTAAAAAGAAGTAGGCTCTTTTCTTGAAGGTCCCTAAGTCGTATCGGTCCGGAAAAATCGCTGGTGGTAAACTATTCCACAAGGAAGTTGTGCGAGGAAGAAAACATCTTCTAAATCGCACAGTGGTGGACCGCCAATCATCCAGATGGTGTGGATGGTATCGGGAGTTCTGCCGCGATGTGCGTTCGTGAAATTTGGCGGCTGGGATTAATCCGAACAATTCCTCAGAGCACTCTCCATGGTAAATGCGAAAGAAAATGCTAAGAGATGCAACATCTCTTCGCAGTGCCAATGAGTCGAGCCGATCGGAAAGGACTCGGTCGTCGACGATTCGAGCCGCTCTGCGCTGGATGCGGTCAAGTGGAAGAAGCTGGCACTGGGGAGCCCCAGCCCAGAGATGGGAACAGT